CAGAAGTTGAACCCCAGAGCCTAAGCAACAGTAGCTTCCTGTTGGCGGTGCATCAGCAGCCCTGACAGCTAAGATGTTGGTTAATTCGACATTTTGCTGCAGTTTTCTTTTTCTCTGTTCTACAAGGCGCGAGAGTGCACAGCGAAGGTAGAGAAAGGGCTGGTTGTACTCATTAGTTCATTTTCATTGTCAGTGCTTGTAGGGCCAGTGGCCCAGTATGCCAGATTACCAGTCCAGCACTGCTGTGGTGCGACAGAAAAGGGGGGAAGGAAATGAAAGCAAAAGAGGATAGATATTTACATTTTCCCACAGCATCACTGCACCATGTCATCTCCACTCTGCCATAATATGCCCAAATTTCCAAATCATTTCTTCAGCTGTTAGACTTCTATTAAGAGCTCGGCTCTGTTCCAGATGACATTTAAACCATAATTTTTTTAGGGCAAAAAGTGTTGCAAACATGGTACTGATACAGCAGTAACAGAAGCGTGCAACAGTAGAGTGGGGAAGGAAAGAGGAAGGTAAGCCACTAACCTCTCATGGGTGTGCCTTTCTCCCTTCTAGCTCATGTAAAAAGGAGGAAAGAAAGAAAAGACAAGAAAGAAGGTAAAATCATCTTGTGTTGGTAACAGAGAGGAAGAAAGACGCTTGAAGGTGACACTGAAATGATGAATTACAGCTATGATAAAGTTTGATATAAGTATGTAATTGAAAGGAACTCTTCAACAAAGCAGAAGAGTGTTTGAAACCCATAACCTGAGCACTACATCAATCACAGCATAGTTATTCATATAAATGAGATGCTCAGTTCAGTTTCAGTAAAAGGAGGCATCTTGCTGCAGAAGAGGTGAATTATTTCATACCCTGACTTTGAGGGAAAGAGTTGTTGAGCTGTTCCATCACCTCCTCCAGCCCAGCTGCATCTTGGGATGGGCTGGACAGCTCATCATCACCTGAAACAGAAAAGAAACAAAGCGTTTAAGGATAGTTGGACGAGTACTGACCCGAGCACACGTACGCACACACACACCATGAAACACACATGCAAGTCTTTAGCGTGTGTGTTGTCTCATGTAAACCGATGTCCAAGGTACATCTACAGGTACTAGAAATCTATTTATATCGTCTATGCGTCACAAAGGGTGGATGCAAATTAAAGAATATAAAAGGGATGTGTGGGTGTTTTTACCCATTGTATCAGTAGTTTGGCTGGCAGCCACACGCAGCAGAGGGAGAGAGGAGTCGGAACGCTGAGAGGAGGTGGATGGCGAGGACAGAGCTGTGCCGTTTACCTTGGAATCCGTCTGAGGCACACATGACATAAGGACAGCATCTTTTATTTGCTGTTTGTACACTGTTGTGCAGAGCTTAGAGTCAGTCATAAATACAGATACATTTACAGTATAAAATAACGTGCAAGTTGAGGTAACGTAGGTTTTTTTCTATACAGAGATAAAGATAAAAAAACAAACCAATATGTCGAGTACAACACAAACAAAACAAGAAACTGGCAGTAATACGACACAGAGCAGAGACGCGTGCACCCTGCTTATTCTCAGCTCTTTGCTCACTGATGAAAATCAGAGACCATCAGTATCTTGTGCTACTTGGAATTGACGCCCAGCTTAAGAGCATTTTATCATCAGTAGATATTGAAGAATAGTCTAAACTCACTTGATCAAATCCAGTAAAGTTTAACTGTCTTTTACCTTGTTAGGTAGTATTCCTAAACATCTTAGGGAATACTACCTAACAAGGACTAACAATAGGCTAGCATACATGTGTGGGCCTTAGTTTTTCCAAATACAAACAATAAGAAATATTCAGAAACACCTTCACCTGCTGAGGGTTTCCATCAAGAAAATGGTGATTAGATCCAAGCAAGTAAAGAAGAAATAAAAACAGAGTGGAAGAAGAGTGGACCAAGGAGAAGAGTGGACCAAGGAGAAGAGTGGACCAAGGAGAAGAGTGAGCTTCAGAAGCAGAGAAAAGAAGAAACCACACCAGAGTTTACTGAACTTCAAAGGAAAGCTGGAGACTAAGTCAGCTGACCAGAAGGGAACAGATGGGTTAACATCTATTGCGTTCAACTTCGTGTCTTTGCAATTCAGCGCAACAACGTGATTGGATGTCTCAGTGGGTGTGGCCAGATGCCTCTCAGAAGATGTGACGCCCAGAAACAGAGGGAGGGTAGAAAGACCAGATATAAAAGTTAGGTGAAGAAGAAATACAGGTTTTTCCCTTCATCTACTGCGAGATGAAAAGATCAGGCATAAGATGTTCAGTTAAAAAATTCCAGCAGAGATGCCAGAAGGATTATCCGCTCCCCAAACTGTGAACCTGCAGATTGGGTTCGTGTTTTTTGGCTTTTTCGCTGCTCATTTTTGCCGTTAGAGTATGGAATCAAGAAGATTTGCATGTCCACTTGGAAATATAGAGATATGCCAAATATCCTTGGGCAAGATACTGTGTGAATGTGAGACAGAAAGCGCTTTCAGAATTGAATTAAAAAACAGGAGCTCACTGTATGGAAAAAATGAGCAGACATCCAAAAGTTAGAGATTGTCCTTTTGTCTCAACATCTCACTCATCCTACTTAAGACTTTTTATGTTTAATAAGGATATTATGCAGTGTAGCGATACAAGCTCATGAAGAATTAGGACATTAGATGTCTCTGAACATAGTCCAATTTATATGGATTTGAAAATTCAAAACAACAATAAATTTTCATCCATCCATTCGCTTCCGCTTCTCCTTTTCAGGGTCGCGGGGGGCGCTGGAGCC